AACTGTCGACGTTCCTTTGCATTTAGCCCCATATCTTCTGCCTCTGCAAGCAAAGAGAAAAAAACCTTGTGAAAATTTCCATGGAGACATACTCTAATAATCAAAATTACAATCAAGTTTGGAAAGAGAGCAATCGGCAATAGCGTCAAAGACCGAGTTGTCTGCAGATTGATCAGACAACCAGTATAGATTCAGAGAACACTGTCAAGTAACTAAACGCATGAACATCGTCTCTCTCCCACAACCTTGTCTACACAGATTCAGACAGAACATCTATGTCCGCATAGAAGAAACTTAACGAACTCCATCTCCTCCGTAGACACACGCACACCATGAACGCAGTTGGTCAACTCGACAACTATAACTACGAATTCCAAAGGTAGAAAAATAGCATAACCTCCGAATATTGACGAAGAAACAAGCTTAATTTCACTAACGAAACGGGTCAACACCGATTCTAAAATCCGCGAATAAAGAAAAATCTAGCAACTGGGTTTCGCTGAATCCATCATCAGTTACATAAACATGAAGGGGGGAGGGGGGACAAAACCACGATCAATTTGATGAACTATAAAGCGCACGCACACAGCACGAAAATCACAAACGAAGAATAGTTTATCAGGAGAGGGGAGAACGAAGAGTACCTTCGATAGAAGACATGAACAAGGTTACGTTGCTCGATCAAGAAAATTCGCTTCAAAAGTATCACAAGAGAATCGAAAAGGCAGAGAGAGAGAATCGTAGAAGAAGAGGAATTGCTTTCTTATACTCCACCACCTCCTCCTCCTCCCATGGTTGCAGGGAAATTACACTAAGCAATTATAAAGAATTTTCGAAGGAATACCCTTTTTTTTCCGATGAAAATGAAAGAGAGAGAGAGAGAGAGAGAGAGGTGTGATTTAAAAATGGCGTGCGGGCGACCGTTGACACGAACCCAACGGGCTCCACGACCATGACCTCGTCACCCTCCCGTATCTGTCCTTTGTGCTGTTTTACGTCTCCCAAAATAAATAAATACATTAATTAATTTGTAGTTTCCATTTTTAAGGATAAATTAAACTCCAAGCTTAATCGATATTGGAATTATCATGTCTTTTTTATTAGATGTTGATTTTTGGAATTATCATGTTCACATGATGATATTTTGGATAAGTCCACAAAATCATTCGTACAAAAAATAAATAAACAAATCAAACGAAAACATAATAGAAACAAAAAAAAATCAATTTTATAATCATCATATTTTGAAGGTGGACAGAGCTTTGTTTTTATTTCATTTATTTAGATATAATTGGAAAGACTTTGGTAAAACAACACATACATACATACAACAACACATACATACATACATACATACATACATACATACATACATACATACATACATACATACATACATACATACATACATACATACATATTACATACATACGTACATGGGCCTCGGGAGAGTTTCAGGTGTAAGAGAACAGGTTGTAAAGATGGGGGCCTGCAATATGTTCATTTGAATATAGGCCTTTAAAATTTTTAATAACGAGAATGGGCCGTTGGCCCTTCGTACCGTTCTCATTCATATATTTTGCACGTGCATTATTACAAAAACACAGAGTATTCTAACATTCTCGGACCATATAATATATGATCATATTATATATATGATTGAAATTCTAATAATAACAACACTGATTTATTTGACCTTTACGTGTCGTTGAAAGAGAGATGAACACGTGTCATGAATGACGTGGAAGTGGTTTTTGCATAGCAAGTATAAGGACACCTGCACCAAACCGCATGTCTGTGCTCGTTGTGGCCGTAGAATTTATCAAGGAACCAAATCTTTTAACCCCTATTATTCCCTTCAAATTACACTTTCATGCCACTATCTGGTCCCCCAATTTTATTTTTTAAAAATACAAAATATAAAACTTTTACCGACTTTCTCCGATCGATGTTTCGACTTTCCGGCCCTAGAAATGTTCTTGTTTTTCGTTTGGTCATGATACGCTTCGTTGGCCTGTCTTATTTTAATATATTCAGTTGATAGATCCGTGCACAGGCAATAATTATTATATTCTGTAACAACATGCATCCCATGCAGATTTATACATTCTTTTTAATTCCGGATTTTAATTTTGTACATATATATATATAGTTTTGTATTCTTAAAACGTGATGGGGTTAATTATATATATATATATATTATATATCATCCTCAATCATACCGTCATTGGCAATTATTGTAAACCTATTGACTTTATAGTTTTCATCATCTAAGTTCTATAGGATGGGTTAAGGGCACATGATGATGATGATGATGATGATGATGATGATGATGATGATGATGGTGGTGGTGATGCCATCATCCGACGCATGTTGTAGTGGAAGCCCATGTCACGGAAATGCCATAGTTATTCTCTTTTTTTTTTTTTTGGTTCACAGATTCTTGTTTCAAACAGGGAAAAGAACATTTAAAAAAAAAAAGCAAAAACTATAACTAAACTAACTAGCAGTGGCGGATGCACGTTAAGGGCAATGGGGCAAAGGCCCCCATTAGTTTAATTAAAAACTGTATTTTTCTATGTAAATTTTTACAAATTTGCAAATAAAATTAGAAATGCCCCCATTTATAATAGAAAAAATTATGTTTGCCCCCTGTTGAATAATTTTCTAAATCCGCCACTGCTAACTAGCCCTTGAAAGTTGATGTAAAAATATAATTTGTAACATATTCATTCAAAATTTATAACATCAAGGTCTCGTGTGGAGGAATAAGAATCATTAGCTAGGATTGGTCGGAATTAGATTAGAACGTTGTTTTAGTCACAATTTTTTTTTTCCTTTTTCATATATTGTGTTTGTGTCGTAGATAGATTCCACTCTTTAATTTCCATCATGATCCATAATTATTAATTCGAAGTAAAAAATGGAAGGAATACACATGGGGTCCACATCCATGCATGCATTGTCCGAGAGATAAGCCATCAAAGGGGACCCGCCACAGATGTCCATATAACCATAAGATCCCCTTTGATTGCAAAACTTTGTAACCATAACTCCCAATGTAGTCGTCCCCCCACGATTTTGTGTGCCCTAAAAGTTATGTTGGTCCCTTTGCCCCCCTCCCCTCTCCTTTCTTTCAAACCTCTTTTTTTGCTTTTGCCCTTTCTTCTTTAGACATTTACCACATAAGAGATCTCTGTCCTTTAATTTGGATGTTTTATCGTATAACAGTCTCTTTCAAATTGCAAATATTCTAATCTCCTGCTGCGAAAATGGTACTAATTAAAAGAAACTATATGATTATTCTTTTATATATATATATATTAGGATATGTTTTGTCGTATATTCCGGCCATAGAATAAACACACACAATCTAAGAAAAATGTCTCGAGTGAAATTGATTCCCTTAAGAGTTTGCGGTAAATTTCAACCATATAATTATACATTTTTGTAGGATATATATATATATATATATATATATTATAATAAATACGACAAGTGTGTGGGTGTGGAGTTGGTGGATGGTGAAAAGTGAAGGGCACTCGGATCTGAAAATCTCAATCCCAATAACAACATGAGCCTCTCTCTCGTTCCCTCGTTGGAAACATCACCTACTACCTACCATTTTATTTTATTTAATACCCTCACTATTTCTTAATTTATTTAATTCCATCAACTATAACACCTATGTTCATTGTTCAATGCCCTCGTGCTGCAAATTAACCCATTTGATTTAATTTTGGTTTATCCTAATTTGGTTTAATGTCTTTTGTTTGATTTGTTTTTCGGAGCAGTTCTTTCTTTCCATGTTTTATACTTAAATATATATACATATATATATTTAATTTAAAGTAGTAAAAAGAGATTTATTTTGAACTATTATGAATTCTCCGTTTCCACGTGAATTTGATTTAATCATAATAACTTATTAGGGTTTTCTTGACCCAATAAAAAAGGTATTAGGGTTTGATAAAGGTACATGTAAAAAAAAAAAAAAAAAAGAGTTGACAAATGTAGGACTGATTTTGGGGCTCAAGGTGGGACCCAAAAGCGCCACGTGGCTCCCATGCCGCTGGTGATCATGTGGATCCTTGCTGCCCACTAGATCATACACTTAACTGCACTCTCTAGATGACTAGATCCAATCCATACGTATAGACTCGCATACACATGGATGCATTCGTATGTATGTATCTATAGAGAGAGAGCGCACATGGGAGGGGTGTTCGGATCAAGAAATTCATGTGAGAGCACATGTGCTTTGTTCCTGGGCCTTCTGTGGGCCCCCTCCCTCCCATGCACCTGCCACAGGTGATCCCTCCCCTTTTCCCCTCACGCGCCTCCATCTCTCCGCGCGTGGCTTTTAACTCGAATAACAAAACTTTATTTATATTTTCCATGCCACATCGATCTCGTATTTTTTTAAATTATTTTACGCTATATTTTGTATACCTTTGTGTCTAGATAAATTTAAAACCGGATGAAAAAAATAACTAATAATTAACATCGTTTAAACAATGATTATATAATTATTCACTAAAAGTTAAAATATAAATTCTCCGTAAGTCATGACGTGGCAGGGAGGAAAAATTGAGGGAACAGGGGGGGAGGGAGAGTCCGAGAGCATTTATCCAGACGGCTGGCTGACGTGTCCACTATAACCTCTCAACGTAGCGCGTGAATGCCACGCCCCTACTCCATAACCCTAAACATGAAAAAAAAACGGTACAACTGGACCCAGCTTTCACGTCATTATTACCTTTTTTTTTTTGTAACTCCACCAAAAAAAAAACCGAACTCATAATTTAACGGTCCAAAAGAGGAAGAGCCCTTTCCACTTCCAGGCACAGAATGGAGGAAGCCTCATAATTTAACGGTCCAAAAGAGGAAGAGCCCTTTCCACTTCCAGGCACAGAATGGAGGAAGCTCTCAAGAAACGATCTCCCCCGCCGCCGCAGACAGAGGCGGCGTTCGAGCGGAGGACACGGCGGAGGTCGTCGCCGGTGGAGGAGGAGGAGGTGGAGGAGAAGATAGCGCTGCTGAAGAAGATGGTGCCGGGAGCGGCGGCGCTTGGGATCGACGCGCTCTTCGACGAGACAGCTTCTTACATCTTGTCTCTTCAGTCTCAGATCAAAGCCATGAGAGTTATCTCTGCCTTTCTCGACCGCTTGGAGATGGACAACTTCACCAAGTTCGGAGGTTGATCTTCTTTCTACTTAATAATTCCTTACTATTATTACTTTTTTTTTTGTTTTTTAACATTTTCTCTCATGAAGTCCATAATTTAGTGTATTTTTTTTTTCCAATTTATAATGTCGGGGAAAAGATCTCCACATTTTTTTTCTCTCTAATCTTTTCCTGTACTTTTAGTTTCAATATATAAATATATATTTGTAGTGTATGATATACATATATATGAGAAGTGTTAATTACAACGTTTCATATGATACTGCGAGTTATAATAATTAATATTTCAATTATTAATTTAGCTAATTATGTATATATTGGCAAATGTTATCTATATAGACAAGAAGGGTCCAACTTAATTATATATATAGGCTAACAAAATCTAGCAAATCATGATCTGCTTAATATCCCATGTGTGTGGGGCTTCCTCTTAACTAGGGTTTTAACTGCTTATAATTTTTTAATAATCTAAAAATTCACGGGGTATGACAGACTGAAAAAATCGAAAATTGTGGTGAGTAGACCATGTTAATTTGGATTAAACTTAATTAAATTATTAGTTTAAAAATAATTAAATCATCACGGGGTTAGATTATAATTTTAAAAAACAAGGATCTATTTTGTAACGTTTCCATCAGTCATGGTGAGACAGACATTGTAACATCGATGCGAATCCAAATGTTTCCTGAAAGCGATCGGACATGTGGTTCCCGAATCTACCAACCAAGAACCAAAGAGAGATGTACGTACGGAGTTGGATGTTGCCATTGCAGAAGAATATTCTCGTCGGTGTACACAAACATTGACGCTGTATATATCGACATGCATATCCGTATGACTATGTGTCCATGGTACAATATTGGTATATGTGAATGATGCATATATGTTCGTACGGTGTCATTGCACAAGAATATTAATTCTTGCAGTATATATATATATATATATATACAAAGATTGACTATATGGTACATAAAATTTCACAAGAAACTGGCCGAAGTAATCTTTTTTATTGAATGCCGTCCATGGTTTCATGCATCTATCTTGGTATATATATATATATATATGCGAATCAGTGCATGTATATATATATATATATATATATATATATATATATATATATACCATCTAACGCGTTGGAAATTTTAATCATTTGAGTATCTGTTAATCCATAATAAGTAAATACAATTAATTAGCATCGATTAAAGCACGTATATGTATACGTCACTATTATTACTCAATTAGGAGAGAGAAAAAACATAATTTTTTTCTCCAAATTTATACATTCTAGTTTTTCACTTCAAACAATTTATTCCCTCCGCTTTAATTTTACATGCCGTTTTAAAAGAATTTTTTGTTTTAAAATCCATACACTTTATTTTAATTTTTTTTCTTCAAATCTATCCTTTTTTAATAATAGTTAAATATATCAAGGTAATAATTCTCTACCTGATAAATAACTGTAATTTTGGATGAAATGTTGTGTATAAATCTAAAATGTAATGTAAAATTAAAAGGTGGGAGAATGAGTTTAGAGTTGTATGTTTGTATAGGAGCATGGAAATTTGGATAATGGATATCTGATTATTTCCTAGGATGTCCGAAACTCGAAAACCTAGATCTTTTCAGATTTAATTAATATAATAAATAGGAATTAAGATTCAAAACACTTCAAATATCTTACCCGTGACTCACTAGTCACTTCTAAACAAGATCACTAATGGAGGGTAAACGCCAAGAGCGATAGGGTTAATAGTGGGCCAAAGTTAGTTTGGGCCATTGGGATTTGGTTGTAATTTTATTGTTAAATGCAATGCCTTTTTTTTCCACTGGAATAAAAAAAAAGGTGAAAATTTTCACATATATGCTAAAAGTTTCGAGCTTTAGATTTTGTTGGTCCTTTTTTTTTAATTTACCAATTTTTAGAAAAATAAATAAATAACGGCAACCAAAATGACAAAATAATATTTTTGGTGACATATTTATTCATAAACACTTTTAGGACAGATTTACGGTGTAGGGCCCACACTGCTTTAACCACGTGCGCTGCATATTCGCTCACCGTAGTTAATATAATAATTTCACAGATAATCTTAATCCTAATCCTAATCCTAATCGAATCTTTATTATTCTCGATTCTATTTTCCCAGAAAATCTCGATGTATTTTTCCGGGAAATCGAAAGGTACCTCGAGAAAATTCTCCTCCTTTGGTTCTCTATTTCGGTTTCACGGCGACCCACCGAATTCGAAAACTCGTTTTCTCTTCCTGATTACTGAGGTGAATTCCTTAGTGACAGGATTTGGTTGCCGAGAAAAAACCCGAGCGGCTGGCTGATTCGCTGAACAGCCGAACAGGTTCACTATAACTTGAGAGAATATTGATTCGATTTATGCGTTTGATTTCTACAGGAATAGGGTAGATGGCAGATGAGGTGGTTATCGACGGCGATGTGGACGATCGGGCGGCGAAGGGATTCTCCGATACCGACCAAAGCGTCGCCGGAAATATGGCTGAACTGAGACGGAAAATGGAGGAGCTGGAGGACGAGAAGCAAAGGCTGACGCAGGAGAATCGGGAGATTAAGGAGAGGTTGGAGAAGCTGACCGGTGAGTTCGAATAGCTGAGAGGCGTGGAAGCGGAGATGAATCAGAGGTTCGGGGAGATGGAGAGGGAAATCGAACAGGCTGAGGAAGATAAAAAGGCCCTAGAATCCATTGCCGCGAGAGCGGAGGAGCTCGAGACGGAGGTTTCGCGGCTTCAGCCTGACCTGATATACTCCATAAGCGCCGGGGATGATGCGGCGGCTGAGGTGGCGGAGCTAAAGAAGGCGGTGGCGGAGAAGGGGGAGAAGCTGGACGGATCTGAGAGGGAAGCGGAGAGTCTGAGGAAAGTGAGGGCTGAGACCGAGAAGAAAGTTAGGGATCTTGAACGGAGAGTCGGGGTTTTGGAAGTGAGGGAAATGGAGGAGAAGAGCAAGAGACTTCGGGGGGAAAAGGAGATGAGGGAGAAGATTTGTGGGAAAGAGAGAGAGATTAGCGAATTTCAGAAGAAAGTTGCGGGTTTGAAATTGGAATTGGTGAAGAATGGGGAGGAAATGGAGAAAGTGAAGTCGGGGAAGAATTTTGCAGAGGATGAATTGAGTGAATCACAGAAAAGGGAGATGGAGACGGAGGTGAAGGGGGAGGAGTTACAGAAGCAGGTCGAGTTGGCCAAGAAAACGATAGTAGGGTTGAAGGAGAGAATCATTGAGCCTTGCAATGGAACTGCAGCAAGTGATGTTGAACAGAAAGGTGCCTTGGGACTGAAGTCAAAGTGGCCTGTTCTTGCTGCTGGGTCAGTCGGCGCTGTTGGTTTGGCGGCTGCAACTCTGTTTGTCTTCTATTCAAAGCCAAGGTGATTTATCATAGGTAATGATGAGATTGTTGATCTCTGAGGAGATGGTTTATGGGTTAGTATATGATCTTTGGTTGGTTTTGGTTCGAAGCTGTGATGTTTTTGGCTGTCGGCTTTCGTATTTTCATTGAGGAGATTGTTGAATTTTTGGCTCTTACCCCATCAGATGCATTTGTCATCTTCTTCATCACTTCTAGTCAGCCTTCCAATATAGTTGCCATCATCTCAGTTAGTTGAATAACAAAGCAAAGCAATAGAACCCTGTTTCAGAATAGATTTCTTGAAAGTCATCCTCTGTTATCCCTTCCAAGAGCTCGCAGATTATTCCATACAATTCTTGAAAACACGAGTAAAGAGTAAACAAGAACAGAAACCATTATGTAATGGTTCTTTGAAGAAAATGTCAAAAGACCACTGTTTTTTAGTGATCTGGCTCTGTTCTGTTTCCCTGTTTCTTTTATACTATGTCACATTCATAATTCATTGCTTGTAAGAAATGGCAACCCTATGACTGATAATACCATGGTTCTGTGAAAGCTTTATGTCTCTGTTCCTGAATTTTATGGGTCAGAACAGCGAAGAAGCTCGAGGGGACAGAAAGAATATGGCATACCAGTCAATGTCAGAGTAATGAGAATGTGGAAGCTAAAGCTGCATTTTGCGTATTGCGTACAGGTACAAGTTCTTGTTTCCTTGATCATGGGTTGAGTAGATCGAGCCTGGTTTCCGTTTTTGGATTCACGGAAAATATATCTGGAATCAAGACCCAGGTCATTTGCATATCAAACAATACGATCAGATTATTGTTCTGTGCTGTCAAGGTGTAAAGGTTTGAGCTTTATGGCTAAAAGAATGGAGGGCGTGAGGTTGTTTTCTAAAACAGCTCCAAGAAAGCAGGAACATTTGTTGTATAAACTATTTCTGCCACCTGTGGATGTTTTATAAGAAGATTAATTAAATATTTTGACAAACCTGAGATGCAATCGCCATCGATGGCTGCTTCCTTTAGTTTCCACTATCCAATCCCTAAACGCTTCATTCATCCCTCCCCCTCTCACAAACGAAACCCTAATCCCTTTTTCCCCTCCACCAAACTCATCTGCTCCTCCTCCTCTTCTTCTTCATCTCCTCCGCAGACAACGCACCATCGCAGCTTGAAGCAGACCCGGCAGCATTCCATATTCGAAGATTCGCTTCCCTTCCACCAATTCAGCTCTCCGTCCGACGATTCAGGCCTCGCTGACCAAAACCCAGAAGGCTTAGACAGCGAATTTGTGTGTCGGGGTGGTGAAGACAGCGTGGGAGTTTTGTCAAAGGTGCGGTGGACGGATCTGAAAGCGGTTGTCGGACAGCGTGTTAGCATCGAAGGCATTGTCTCTTCGGTCTCCGTGGTGGTTAGAGATCGTCACCTGGCTTTGCCGCACGTTGCAGTGCCGGATATAAGGTACATCGACTGGGACGAGCTGAAGCGGGAGGGTTTCAATGGTGTCGTGTTCGATAAGGATAATACTCTCACGACTCCATATTCTCTGGCTCAGTGGTCACCGCTTCAGCCTTCCATAGAGCGGTGTAAGGCGGTGTTTGGACATGACATCGCTGTGTTCAGCAATTCTGCTGGTAAATTCTGTTCGTGGGTACTTATGAAGTTTTGTCTTTTTGATGTGATTGTAGTTTCAACGATGAAGATTCTAACTTGGAACTGTAATTCGTGTCTGGTGAATCAGGGCTTGCCGAATATGATCATGATGGTTCGAAAGCCATAGCATTGGAAGCACAGATAGGAATTAGAGTGTTGAGGCATAGTAAATCTTCAGGCCTTTTACTTTTACATCAGCTCTAGATGTCATTCAAGTGTTGGATCCTCATAATGCCATGTTTGTTGGTATAATAGGAGTAAAGAAGCCTGCGGGGACAGCTGAAGAGATCGAGAAGCACTTTGGTTGTCCGTCCTCACAGCTAATTATGGTAACTGACTAGGGAAGATCTTCCAAGAGATTAACTTGGCATTGCATCAGCGGTAGCCAAATGACAACAAGTCGTTGTTTTGGCAGGTGGGTGATCGGCCCTTAACAGATATCGTTTACGGGAACAGAAATGGATTCCTGACCATATTAGTAGAGCCATTGAGTCGAGCTGAGGAGCCTTTCATTGTCAGACAGGTTGGTTTACTCTCCTTTTCCTTTTTCATTAGAGTGCCGAGAATGGGAGGCATTGCGCTGTTTCCATGTGTTATTTCAGCGTTCTGAATTGGTTTAGTTTGTTGGAAAGTTCGTGTGAGTAGTAAGTAGTTTAAGTGAAGATGTTAGTATCGACTAGGTTATCGTTTGCTTTAGTGAAGAAGTTCCCGAATGTTTAAGCATTTGTCTTCAAGTTTTGCTCCTCAGATATAAATGTCTGAGAGCAAAGACATATAAAGTTGATATGGAAAATGGCGTAAATCTTGCAGATTAGGAAGTTAGAGATGACACTGTTGAACCATTGGTTGGGAAGAGGTTTGAAGACTGTGGGTCACAAATTGCTCTCTGATGTAACACAGTGTGTGAAGGATCCATCAAATTTGTAAGAGCGGT